TTTTCTTCCTGTCTCCTTCTCACGGCGCTTGCTCTGCCCCTTTAAAAATTAAAAAAAAAATGCTTCTTTAATCCCCAAGTTTTTCTCTTTTTTTTCTTTTTATCGCTTAGTGGGCAGGGTTTTCGACCCCTTCGCTTTTGCTTCCCTCGTGCGTTCGCTGGGGACGGGCGGGAGCACACGCGCATGCGGCGGCCCAAGTCGGAGGACGACACTTTTGCGGATGACTTGCCTCCCAGCGTCGCCGTGCAGTACCGCATCCTGCAGAAGCTGCTGCCGGGACGCCCGGCGGCGTGCCATCAGGCGCTGAGTGCGACGGACCCACCGGCGCGCCGCCGTGCGACTCCACACTCGGCGGGAGGCGAGGGCAAACGTCGCCGCGCTTGCACTGACCCTGCGCAGCCCCCAACGGTGTCGTCCTCTTCGTGCTGTGGCGGGGGCCGTTGGGGTGCCGACGCGAAGGCGAAGGCGCTGCGCGAGATTGAGCTTGGGGGGCCGATCCTTGACCAGTTGCTTGGGGCCCACGCAACCCACAGCCGGCTTGAGGCGGCGTTCGAAGAGCGGTGGCGGGATACGTGGCGCACGTTTGCCGAGTTTGAAGCACGGCAAAGATCTTTGATAGAAGCGATGGCAGGGTGGTTTTTTGAGGCGTTTTCTCCGTCTCTGTTTAACGGCATGTTCAGGCAACTCGAGGACCAGGCGCACCGTGCAGCGGCGGCGAAGAGCAGGGTGGCGGCGTTGGAGCGAAAAACCGAGGAGCTTTGGAGGTACAACAAAATCCTGGAGGACCGTCACGGGCAGTCGCTCCGGCTGCAGCCGCTGGAGGACGAGCGGGACGACGCGCTACGAGAAAACGAAGAGGTGCACCGCGCGCTGAAGGCATCTCAGGGGGAACTTCGTGAGTCGCGGCAGACCATCGCGGCTCTTCGGCGGCAGCTGCGGGAGGCGGAGACGGCCTCCAAGGCGCCGTTGCGTGCATTGACAGGGGAGTTCGAGGAGCTGAAGGCCCAGTATCGCGAGCTAGTGGCCGCCGGTGGGCGCGCGCCGCCAACCACAGTGGCGAAGGCGGAGGAGCGTGCAGTGGCGGACGCGGGGGAAGGCAGGGCGCCGTCTGTCGAGCTGTTGAGGGGGCAGGTGAGGGAGCTGCAGCACCAGCTCTTGCTGAGGGACACCGCCGTCGGGCGTCTGCAGCAGGAGCTCGCGGAGCTGCGGGAGTCGGCGCGGGAGCTGGGGGCTTCCCAGGCGGAGGTGCAGACGTTGGGGCCGCGGCTGAAGGCCGTCACGGGGCCTCACCCACACTAGTCTGCTGACATCCGTCAGCCGTGCCGCCGTGCGCCACAAGGCGGCCACAACGAGGGTCCTTGCGTCCCCTGTGCTTTTGTGTTGCTTGCGTGGATGGGGAGCGAGTGCGTGTGGGAGTGTGTGGGTCGGTGAGGGTGAGGGAGGAGGAGGGTCTGCTCGGTGCCTGCCCACAGGCAGTCAGCCTCATTGCGGAGGAACAAAAACCAACGACAACAACAACAACGGCAATAACATGGGCATCTCTGCCTGTTTTTATTTTTTATTTTTATTTATTTATTTTTTTCTCTTCACGCTTTGATTGACTTGTTTATTCACCCCTTCCCCACTTGCAGGGGAACGATAATAATAATACTAATAATAATAATAATAAAGCCCTCTCGTGTCTCCACAGACCCGGTCGCACAGGGCGCAGGAAACAGGGAAGAGGGGCACAGCCTAAGGCGCGCGGGAGGGCCGTGGCCCGGCGATGCTGACGGGCGTCTCCGCGCCGGACTCGGAGGGCAGGGTGACATACACCTTCAACAGCCAGTCAAAAGTGGAGGTTCCTCAGCGGTACGAGGTGAAGGGCATAGTGGGACGCGGGGCTTATGGTATTGTCTGTAGTGCGGTGGACCTTAGAACGGGGGACGACGTCGCCATTAAAAAAATCACCAACGTCTTTGGTGACCTCGTGGACGGCAAGCGCATCTTGCGTGAGGTGAAGCTGCTGGGGTTTCTGCGGCATCCCAACCTACTGTCCCTCAAGGATCTCTACCGCCCCTCCGCCCCGGACTTCTCCGACCTGTACCTTGTGTCCGAGCTCATGTCCTCGGACTTGTACACCATTCTCAAATCAAACTCCGTGAAGCTGGCGGAGGTGCACTGCCAGTACTTTACGTACCAGCTTCTGTGTGCGCTGCACTACATTCATAGCGCCAACGTTATCCACCGGGACCTGAAGCCCGCCAATATATTGACCAACGCCGAGTGCGATGTGAAGCTGTGCGACTTTGGCCTTGCACGGGGAAGGGGGCTCCGGATGACGCACTACGTCGTGACGCGTTGGTATCGGCCACCCGAGCTGCTGCTTATGAGTGACGATTACGATGGGGCGATTGACTTGTGGGGGGTGGCGTGCATCGCGGTGGAGATGTTCACGCGCCGGCCGCTCTTCCCTGGTTGCGACTACATCCACCAGCTGAACCTCATCACAGAACTCTTAGGCCTCCCCGACATCGCGCGCGACTTGCCCCACGTGAACTCGGAGGGGGCACTCAGCTACGTGCGCTCGCTCCCCCCGCGGGAGCGGCAGCCGCTGGAGACCGTCTGCCCCACGCTGAGGGACAAGTACTTGGGCTCCATTCGCTACAACGTGGAGGGCGGCGAGGACGCGGGGAGGGCGGCGTGGGACGGCGCCAACGAGGGGGAAAAGGGGCCTGCGGATGCGGACACGGCGCCGGCCCCGGCAGCCCCGGCAGGGGGCGGGGAGGAGCGGTACGCGTTGTTTAAGGACTTCCTCTTCCGGCTGCTCACGTACAACCCGAAGCAGCGCATGACGGCGAAGGAGGCGCTGGCGCACCCGTGGCTGCGCGAGGTCCGGGACAACTGCGGCGGAGAGGAGGTTGAGACGGAGGCGGGGAAGCAGTTCTTTTGGGACCTCGACAGCACCGAACTCAGCGCTGCCCAGCTGCGGCAGCTGGTGACGGACGAGGTTGCAACGTACAAGGAACAGTAAACAGGAGGGTCAGGAGACAGGCATCATGACCATCAAAAAGAAAAAAAAGGGACTTGAAGAAACCAATAACACGCACACACACACACACACACTCATATATATATATATATATATATGTAAAAAGAGCCACAGTGCACGACGCAGTACGGGCTGTTGCTTTGGGAGCGGGTATGTAATATACTCGCCTCGTTGCCTGATGGACGCATCCTTGGAGTATGCAGTACACAGCAGTGGCCTGAAAGAGGTGGCATGCATAGATCTGTTGGACGCCGACGTTTTCAGCTGCTCTCACATACCTTGCATTTCTGAAGATGTATAGATGTATAGCTGCAGCATACGTGTATAAGTACGACATGTCTATTTACTGCGTGTATTGCAAATCCTGGCGCCTCATATATATTCCTTGTCATTTAGCTCACGCGGAGGGATCGTTTTTTGTTGTTGTTGTTGTTGTTGGTTTTTTTTTTGTCCCTCTCCTTCTCTTTTTTGTCTCGCTCACTATTGATTCTCACTCTTTGCCCTGTGGGGGTTTCTTCTTCCTCGTCGCTGCCGCAGGCGGCGAAGCCAAGACGCGCGCACAGGAAGCCTCATTGCCGGCTGCGTGACGGGGCCGCTGCGAGGTTCACTTGCGCCTTCTGGGGACCTGCCGCCTGCTCGCCGGCCGGCCGGCTGTGCACCTCGGCGCCACCGCAGCGGCGGGGACAGACACGCGAGGGCGCACCGCGCAGTGGACGCGGGTGGCAGGAACCCTGCGCAACGTGTGACCGCACATCGCTGTTGTTGTCGTTGTTTATTTTATTGCGTGTGTGACTCCCGCTTCGCCGACCGCAACGGCGATGGCGACGATGGCAGCACCGACCTCGTCGTCGTCCCCTCGTCTAGAGGTACTGCGTTGTTGGGGGGCGGAACAAAAGTGGAAACGCACGCAGGTGCAGCAAAAAGCATGGACTGCAGAAACAAGTTTCTTTTCTCTCCTCTTGCTTGCCTCTCCCCGTGAGCGTTTCTCACCTCTTGACTTTGTTTCTGGTCTCTTTCTTTGGCGCTGCGCCCCTCACAAAATTTTGCCCTTTCGCCTGTTCCTGCGCGTCGCGGGGCGGCTGCTTCGCGGCGACACGTTTGTGTTGCTCTCGCTCTCTCTCTCTTTGCTTGACCTCTTTTCCGTCGCCGGTTGTTGTGTTGTCTCCGCTCGGCGGGCGAGATTGTCGGGCATAAGAGCAAAGGCGGAAGTATAGCGAGTGAGAGAGCGGGAGCGCGTGAGCTGCGTGTGTCTTTGCGTGTGCGTGTGGAGGGAACTCGTAAATTACCGTCCGTCGCTGCAGCGGGGCGAATGCGGCTCCGCACGGGGAAACGTCGCGGCACTCTGCGGGGGTTCCTGCTGCTGGTTGCCGCGCTCGTGCTCCTCCTCGCATGCGCCGCGGAGGTCTCCGCCTTCTCCGTCTTCAAGGCCATCGCCTCCTCCTACCAGCAGGGGGACACCATCCCGGTCATGGTGAGCCCGCTGACCTCCGGGCTGCGGGTGATGCCGATGCAGTGGAGGTCGCTGGCGCAGTGCCCGCGGAAGGAGCGGCAGCGGCGGCGGCGGCGCAACATTGGCCAGCTGCTCTTCGGCGACCAGCTGGAGGAGTCCGCCTACGACGTGACGGTGCTGGAGAATGAAACTTGTGTGCCGCTGTGTAGTGTGACGCTGACTGCGAAGGAGAAGAAGTACTTGGGCAAGCTTATTGAGGGCCGCTACCGCGCCAACATGTACGTGGACGACATGCCGGGCGTAGAGGACATTAGAATTTTAAAGGGGCGGCGTCATGTGACGACGGGGTACTACTTGGGCTCTAGAAACAGCCCTGCGGCCCACGGGGATGTGGTGGTGAACAACCACCTCATCTTTACCATCTCCTACCACCCCGTCGACTCCCCGTTTAATTTGGAGAACAGGTCGTATAGAATTGTGCAGTTCCAAGTCACAGCCATGAGTGTTTACTACGGCAGTGCCATCTGCGACCACAACGACCTGGTGACTGGCAGGCCCCAGCCTCTCATGGAGGGCAAAATACCGTACTCCTACAGTGTGCGCTGGGTGGAGTCGCCCCTGACGTGGTCGACGCGCTGGGACGTGTTCATGCAGATGACGACCCGGGAGTCCAAGATCCACTGGTTCAGCATCGTGAACTTTTTTGTCATCACTCTGTTGCAGACCGTGGCTCTCTGGTACGTGCTGATCCGAGCGCTGCGCCGAGACTTCTTGTACTACAACGAGGCGGAGGCGGAGGCCGAGGAAACCGACGAGTCTGGGTGGAAGCTTGTCCACGGTGACGTCTTTCGCCGACCACGCGGTGTGGGGCTTCTTTCCATCTGTGTTGGGACAGGGACCCAGCTGGCAATGATGTTGGGCTTCACACTTTGCGTGGCCTGCATGGGGTTCGTTTCGCCGCAGAGCCGTGGGACGCTGGCGACCACGCTGCTCTTCCTCTTTGTGCTCTGCAGCTTTTTCAACGGGCTGGTCACGGCGATGCTCATCAAGTACCTGCGGATGCGATCGTGGAAGCTGATCTTCGCCGCCAGCGTCTTCTATCCGGCGCAGATGTTTTTCGGCTACTTTGTACTCAATTTTATTCACATTGGCAGCCACGCCGCCAGCTCCGCCTCGCTGTCTTCACTCGTCATTCTTCTGCTCCTCTGGCAGGGCGTCTCCACGCCGCTGTTGCTGGTTGGCGCAGTGCTGGGCTTCAGCCTGAACCTCACAACCCCGGTGAAGGTGAACAGCATCCCCCGCACCATCCCGCCGGCGCCGTGGTACTATGACTCGGCGCTCACAATACTTCTCCCCGGCCTCGTGCCCTTCGCCGCGTCGCAAGTGGAGATCACGTACATCTTCGGAAGCGTCTGGCACGGGACGGTCTACTACATGTTTGGCTTTCTTCTGGCGGTGTACGCGCTGTCGATGGTCATCGCCGCGCAAACGGCCGTGTTCTCCACGTACATTCAACTGAACCGACTGAACTACCACTGGTGGTGGCGCTCCTTTCTGACCTCCGCGTCCTACGGCGTCTGGATTTTTATCTACAGCGTCTTCTACTACTTCTACCACTCCACCCTGAGGGGACTCCTGAGTGCAGTGCTCTTTTTCGGCTACATGGGGATGGTGGCGTACACGCTCTGCCTGCTGAGCGGCGCCGTGGGCTTCCTCGCCTCCTTTTTCTTCGTGCGAATCATCTACAGCAACGTCAAGGTGGACTAGCGGGGCGGACGAAGGAGCGCGAGCGACGACTGAACGGCAAACAGGCGAGCGAAGAGGCCCGCGACCTCCAATCGCTTGAAGGAGCGGAACGCGGGAGAGAGAATGAATTAGTAACCGAAAACAAAAAGTGGCGGACGCACAGACACACACACGCACACACACAAAATAAAAGACAAAATAACGAGGAATAGGGAATCAAAAATAGGCTCCTGGGTGGGCGGTGTGGGTGGTGGGCTCGCATGCAACTTGCGGGACGAGGTTGGCGCTCGCCCGTCGCTGCGGCAGAACGCAGGCGTGTCAAGGGGCGGGCTTTGGGTGGCGTTTTGTTTTTATTTTGTTGCTTCTGCCGGCGGCCCATCCTCCTCGCCTGCCTGCGTCTCTTTGGATTGGGCCCCGGCCGCCTGGCTTCCCTGGCGGGGGAGGCGCGGCGCGAGGGGGGCGGGGCGTGTGGGGGAGCAGAAGCGAAGAAAGTGTGCGCACTCTCCCTCCCTGCGCGTCGGTTCCGGCGGCCGCCGGTTGCGGCGCCTCACGGCTCCCGCCTTCTCTCCGCGGAGAGCTCGGGGCAAGTGAAACCTGCCGGGATGGGGATGACGAGTAAAGAGGGGGCCATTGAAGCGAGGAGGGCGGAAAAAAACAAAAAACAAAAAAAAACAAAAAAAACGAGCGGGAA